TTACTAATTTTGAGTTCTAAGACTGGAAAAAATGGGTTTACATAATTTCTTTCTTTTTAATTTTGAGAGTAAATTTTATTCTCCAAAGGCTGTGAGGGGAAATTTATAATGTTTTGTAATGTTTTAACACTTGCAGTTCCAGGCCATCCCTTCTGTTTTTATGGATGAATTCTTTGCTTGATATCTCAAAACACTGTGTTGCAGTAGTTTTTTTCCTCAAGCTTTGGAGTAGATAATGAATTCCCTTTTAGGTATAAAGTGATACATACCAATGTAACCTTAGGTTACAGAAAAGTTATTTGCAGGTCTTAGAAAAGTTAGGCAGCATATTTTGAGAGAAAAAATTGCCTTAATAATACCTAGCTCCTACCCTATAGAGTTCAGTGTACATGGGTTTAAGGAATAATTTATTATAGGGAAAATTTTTTCTTTAATAAAAGTTATTACTTGTTTATCTTTCAAGACCATAGACTTCTCTTAATTTAATTTAATTTATTTATTTGAGAGAGTGTGTGTGTACATGAGGGGGCAGGAGTAATGTGGCTGGCAGAAGGAGAGGGAGAAGCAGACTCCCTGCTGAGCAGGGAGCCCCCTGCGGGGCTCTATCCCAGGACCCTGGGATCATGACCTGAGCTGAAGGCAGACTCTAAACTGAGCACCCCAAGACCACAGATTCTGTTAGAGAGCTGGTGAGCTGAAGAAGAATAGAAAGTCCTGATAAAACTAGATTACTTCAAAGAAAGTCTTTAAACACAAAATTTGTGATTATTTACCTTTTCTAAGTCAGTTAATCTATTTTAATAGGTATTGAAATTCTGCATGAAATATAATTCCTTTTGAAAAAGTAAAGCAAATAAGTCAATTAAAAAATCTTGACAAAGGAATATAAGCAGTTAAATATTGATATAGGAAAACAAAATCTAAAAATAACTTGTTTAGAGTGAGAAGAAGGTAGGCACCATTCTGGTTTTTAAAAACAAGAGAAAACCATAGTGATATCTTTGGGAGTGGGTAATGACTAAGGATTTGGGCTTTTCCACAAATTTTCCTGTGCTCTGGAAAATACAAGATTTTGTATGAAAAACTTTCTTGCACTCTTGGAGGCCAAAGATTATCCATATACTGCTGTTTCGGTTGCTCTGTTGCCAGATGCAGTGAACTAGCAATTATTAACTTTTTCTTTTGTTCTTTTTTATATAACTAATTTTCATGTAAATACTTTGTAAATATGTATTTCATAGATATGTAGAAAAAGATTGGTCACATAAACTCTAAAAGTAGTATGTTACTTGTGGGAAGTGAGAGAGAATAGAATGAAGCGGAGCTTTAAGTTTTTTTCTCTGTGTGTTTATATATTTGAGCTCTAAGGAAAGAGTTATTTGTTCTTATAGCAGTTAAAATCAGAAAGGGAAAAAGTTGTGTAGGAAAATAAATTATTCTAAAAATTCTTAAATACTGTTAATCCTTATGATTTAAAGCAGATTTTTAAAAAGTAGAGATACAGAACTGATTGTGGAAACAAATAATATATCTAGTATATAACTTTTAGAAATATTTAAGTGTTCTGTATTACGTTGTTTTTTAACTTTTTTTTTTTTTTAAGATTTTATTTATTTATTTGACAGAGAGAGAGAGCACGAGCAAGGGGAGTGGCAGGCAAGGGAGAGGGAGAAGCAGGCTCCCCACTGACCAAGGAGCCCAACGCGGGGCTCGATCCCAGGACTCTGGGATCATGACCTGAGCCGAAGGCAGATGCTTAACCGACTGAGCCACCCAGGTGCCCCAGTTTTTTAACGTTTTTTTAAAAGATTTTATTAGAGAGAGAGAACGAGTGGTGGGGAGGGCAGGGAGAGAGAGAGAGAAAGAGAGAGAAGCAGACTCCCTGCTGAGCAGGAAGCCCTATGCGGGGCTCCATCCCAGGACCTGGAGGTCATGACCTCAGCTTAACTGACTGAGCCACCCAGGTGCCCCTGTATTACCTTGTTAAATGAATTCTCAACTGAGTCTACTCTCCAGGGCCTTGAAATATAGAATATTATTTGTGGTTTGATTTTTTTTTTGAGTATTTTAGATGGCTCCTTGCTTATAAATATCTTTAGTCAGTGTAGTTTTATTTATTTATTTTTTAAAAGATTTATTTATTTATTTTAGAGAGAGAGCACAAGCGGGAGTGACAGAGGGAGAGGAGAGAGTGAATCCTAAGCTGACTCTGGCTCAGCGCAGAGCCCAGCCCGGGGCTCAATCCCACGACCCTGATATCGTGACCTGACCCGAAACCAAGAGTCAGAGGCTCAACTGACTGAGCCACCCAGGCACCCCTAGTTAGTATAGTTTTAAAGTGTGCTCATTTTCAACTTCTGTAGTTAGATTTCATTTTCTCTAACCACAAAGATTAGGGGAAATGTACCACTCCCAATCTTGCGAATCCTAAAGTGAATTTTCTGGGGTTTTGTTGATCATGATAATGACAGCTGTATCTGTGTTCTCTTAGGAACTTTTTTTCCCCTCTAATATTTGATGGCACTGTTAAGATAGAAATTGCAAAGGTCAATGTTATTATTTTATTAATAACCAACCTTAAAAATTCTTATTTCCCTATGTCATTCTTCTCATTTAGCTTATTCCACATGTCAGCTACATACCTGGAAGAAATAAATGTTCCCCTTACTCATTAAATTTTCTCTTTTCCCCTTTTATATTCATTTTTTTATTATGTATAGTTTTTTGAGTACTTATTATCTGTGAGGCACTGGGGATAGAGAACAGGTAGGCCAGATTCCTGCTCTCATGAAGTGTAAATACATCCTCCATCCTCATAGAGGTTACAGAAAATCAACGCGTAAATAATTTCAGGGCACCATGTCAGCTACATACCTGGAAGAAATAAATGTTCCCCTTACTCATTAAATTTTCTCTTTTCCCCTTTTATATTCATTTTTTTTTATTATGTATAGTTTTTTGAGTACTTATTATCTGTGAGGCACTGGGGATAGAGAACAGGTAGGCCAGATTCCTACTCTCATGAGGTGTAAATACATCCTCCATCCTCATAGAGGTTACAGAAAATCAACGCGTAAATAATTTCAGGGCACCTGGGTGGCTCAGTTGGGTAAGCGTCTGCCTTTGGCTCAGGTCATGATCTTGGGGTCCTGGGATCGAGTCCCCTGTTGGACTCCCTGCTCTGCGGGAAGCCTGCTTCTCCCTCTGCCTCTCTGTTTCTCATGAATAAATAAATAAATAAAATCTTTAAAAAAATAGTTTCAGATAATGCTAAGAAAGAAGTGATTAGGGCTGGTATAGCCCTAATGTATGTGGAGTTGGGCAAGATTGCAACTAGAGGACTGTATATCAAAATGTTTAAATATTGGTTAAGAACCAAGCTACACCCTTGGCACAGTCTTGAGTTCCCATGCTGTCCACTTACTTCCCAGGGCTGCATCCTCAAGACCCAGAGGCTAAAGGAACTGTTGGTTTTCTTATAGCCAGCCTTTCTACTTTATTAGTGTGATTAGTAGCATGGATATCTTGGGACAGGGCAAGGATGGTTGAGTGGTGCCTGGACCCATCAAAAACAGTGTGAACTGATCTTCTCAGGTTCCTAGGAATCCAGTATAGAGAGGTTGACCTCTTTAGGTCCTTGTTTTTCCAACTCCAGACTTCCAGGAGATTCTAAACTCTTCCCCAAATTGTACTTCCCAAGAAGAAAGGAGGGAATGCAGGTATCTGGGAAATATGGCTTTCCTAGGCAGTCCTGGTGGATTTGGGGCAGCCAACTTTAACTGATTAAAACTTTTATGAGGAACCATTCCTTCTGTGATTTCTCAGGGCAGAAGCTGTGGTGATTTTTCTGCTTTCTCCATAGATACTGGGGTACCATCAGTTCCTTCTCCTTTGGCCTGGGGTGGGGCAGGGGTGGAGAAGACCTCTTTCAACTATCACTTGTAATTTCTATTTGTTCAATTGCTTACTGAACTTTCAAAAAAAAAACACCCCAAAAACAAAACAACAACAACAACAACAAAACAACTTCTATCTTATAAGGCTGAAAGAGAAAAAAAGTCTTTGTTTTAGTGATTGTGATTTGCAGAGTACTTTATTATTATTATTATTATTATTATTATTTATTTTTTTATGTTTGTCACCATACAATATATCATTGGTTTTTGATGTGGTGATCCACGATCCATTGTTTTCGTATAACACCCTGTGCTCCATGCAGTACGTGCCCTCCTTAATACCCATCACCGGGCTAACCAATCCCCCCTCCCACCTCCCCTCTAAAACCCTGTTTGTTTCTCAGAGTCCAGAGTCTCTCATGGTTCATCTCTCCCTCCAATCCCCCCCCCCATTTTTCCCTTCCTTTTCCTAATGTCCTCCATGCTATTCCTTATGTTCCACAAATAAGTGAAACCATATGATAATTGACTTTCTCTGCTTGACTTATTTCACTTAGCCTAATCTCCTCCAATCCCATCCATGTTGATGTAAAAGTTGGGTATTCATCTTTTCTGATGGCTGAGTAATATTCATTGTATATATGGACCACATCTTCTTGCAGAGTGCTTTAAAGTGTAGGCCTTTGGAGGAGGCTTCTCTTGCCTAGATCTAAGAGTGTTACTAGACTGAGAATGGAGGTGACCATAGATCATTCTTTTACATGCCTCTTTGACTTTTCCCTATCCTGCTACCTCTGAATCTGCCTAGCCCCCAACACAATTTCTTTTAATTTGTAAATTTGTTTAATTTGTAAAGTGAAACTGGTATCCCTTGGGGTACCTATGTCTAAAATGTAAGCTCCAAATGAAAATAAATATCTAAAAGTGTTTTTTTGTGTGTGAGATTTTTAAGTAGCAATGATTAATTTTCCTATCTCTGCTCCCCTGCCAGAAAAACGCACCCAAACAAAAAACCACCAAAACAACAAAAAAAGGGTAAACTATATACAAATTGTTGTGGATTTGAGTATTGGCTTAAGTTTACCTTGTATTTTCTCCTTACAGGTGTGAAAGTTGTGTGGATTTACTGTTTATGAGAGGAGCTGGAAACTGTCCTGAGTGTGGCACTCCACTTAGAAAGAGCAACTTCAGGGTACAACTCTTTGAAGATCCTACTGTGGACAAGGAGGTTGAGATTCGGAAAAAAGTCCTAAAAATGTAACTATTATTGTTTGAATGATTCAGTATACAAAGAGGACTTTAAGTATTATTTCAATAATTGCTATAATTATTTACTGATGGAAATATGGATAGTTTGGCAAGTGAATAAATGCACAAATTCGTCTATGCATTTGTTCAACAGAAATTAAGTACTTGAAGAATAGTTATCTAGCCTTTGTTAGAGAAGAGTAGATCATTTTGTTTGATAGCTTTACAATTTATTTACTATTTATTTTATAATTTACTTAAATACATATTGAGTACCTACTGTGTGTGAATGCTGTGTTATTCATATTAGGCATTAGGTATGAAATGAGTGAAATAGCTATGAACCTTGCCCTTATAAGGCTTACAGTATAGTAGTATAGAATAGCATGGAGATAGATAATAAAACAGGCAAACTAAACAACTGTATGGTTATAAATTGAGAAGAATATTACGAAGTTAGTGACTGAGTGTTGGTGTGGATCACTGATATCAGGTGGGGCCTGTGAAGGTATCATTTAAGTTGAGATTTGAAGTGTGCTAGAGAAAATAATGTGTTAGCTATAATTTATTTTCATATATATCTGTGTGTGTACATAATATATTTATTTATTTATTTTTATTTTATTTTATTTTTTTTAAAGATCTATTTATTTATTTGAGAGAGCGAGAATGAGAGAGAGAGAGTACATGAGAGGGGGGAGGGTCAGAGGGAGAAGCAGACCCCCCGCTGAGCAGGGAGCCCGATGCGGGACTCGATCCAGGGACTCCAGGATCATGACCTGAGCCAAAGGCAGTCGCTTAACCAACTGAGCCACCCAGGTGCCCAATATATTTATTTTTAATATTATCTTTTTCATTTATAATTTCATTTTTACTCTCTCTTTTTTTTAAGATTATTTATTTGAGAGAGAGAATGAGAGAGAGAGCACACAAGCAGGGAGAGGGGCAGAGGGAAAGGGAGAAGCAGACTCCTCGCTGAGCAGGGAGCCCGATGCGGGCTTTATCTCAGGATCCCAGGATCCCAGGATCATGACCTGAGCCAAAGGCAGATGCTTAACTGACTGAGCCACCTAGGTGCCCCTAGTTTTTACTGTTTGTGAATAGTTTTGGGTTTTATTTTATCTGTCCTTTTATTAAAAGTGACCTTATTGTTTTTGAAGTTTAACAAATTAATATAAAACTTAATGTATTATTATTATTATATTTTTTGGTGGTATATGTTTCAACCTAGGTCACCAGTGTTTTAAAGATTTGTTTATTTATTTTAGAGAGAGAGAGAGAGAGAAAGAGTGAATGCAGAAGTGGGAGGGGCAGGGAGAGGAAGAAAGACTCTCAAGCAGACTCCATGCTCAGCACAGAGCCTGATGTGGGGCTTGATCTCATAACCCTGAGATTATGACCTGCGCTGAAAGCAAGAGTTGGACCCTCAAATGACTATGCACCCAGGTGCCCCCTAGGTCACCAGTGTTTTAGCAGCATCTTTCTAGGTACTTAACCTGTGTTACTTTATCAATGTCCCAGGCTGCTCTTTTATTACTTGTATTGCTTCTGGGAGATAGTCTCTTTTATTTTATTTTTTTAAAAATATTTTATTTATTTATTTGAGAGAGAGCAAGAGCATGAGTGAGAGCTGAGAGAGAGAAAGAGAGCACAAGCAGGCAGTGAGGTAGAGGGAGAAGCAGACTCCCCACCCAGTAGGGAGCCTGATGCGGGGCTCAATCTCAGGGTCCTGGGATCATGACTTGAGCCAAAGGCAGGCACTTAACCGACTGAGCCACCCAGGCGCCCTAGATAGTCTCTTTTATATTAATTTTTTTTAAATTGATCCCTTGTAGTTTTCTAATTCTTCACAGGGACATTACAATATTTATAGAATTTCCTGATCTGGTATTCTTTAGATTATAATTGTCATGAAAAATTGGAAGGTGTTTTTTGAATTAATTTTTAGCTTTCTGAAAATTAGCAAATCTATTTATAAGAAGTAAATCAGGCTCCTAATTTCTTTCTTTTCCTTAAGTTTTAGAAGGATTTAACATATTTTATCATTCTCTCTTAATTCTGTTCCTTCTCTGTAATCATAAGAATTTAAGAACAACATTCTTGGTCTAATTACAAACGTGGTGTCAAGAAAACAGTGTTTTACGCAGTAAGTAATAAGCAGTGCTTTTCTATGTATCATGAATAAAATATGTAAGAAGAAACAAACCACTTAGATAATATTGGAAGCAAGAGATATGTAATATGTTGAATTTTTTCTTCTATTAAAGATACAATAAAAGAGAAGAAGACTTTCCTAGTCTAAGAGAATATAATGATTTCCTGGAAGAAGTGGAAGAAATTGGTATGTTTTTTGATGCTTGTACTTTTGGTGTGCTACCCTGTATGCTTTTATCTTTTAGATGCCTAAAAGATAAACATCTCATATAAAATCTCTAACAAGTTTTATTGTGATAGCTGATGTTTTATCTATTTACTTTCTGTTGTACTGGAATCATGTTTGTTAAATTGAAGCCATACTTAAGTAAAGGACATACTTAAGTAATAAACATTTTGTCTCAGGGAAAATGGTATCACTGTTTTTTTTTCCCCCAAGATTTTATTTATTTATTTGAGAAAGAGAGAGAGAGAGCGCACAAGCAGGGGAGTGGCAGAGACAGAGGAGAAGCAGGCTCCCTGCTGAGCAGAGAGTCTGATACAGAGCTTGATCCCAGGACCCCGAGATCATGACTGGAACCAAAGGCAGACACTTAACCAACTGAGGCACCCAGCCGCCACAGTAGTATCAGTTTATAGCTGGGAAGAAAGACTGTATCTGTATATATTATCTATATGTTGAGGAGGTATTAGAGTCAACACAAGGAAAAGGTACACAGATTTTTTAAAAATAGGATTTCTATTATCTGCCTATGGTGACTAAAGCCATATGTTGTTTATCATTTATGTCTCTGTGCATATAGTAGTTTGAAAATAGTTTGAAGCAGTTGACTATTGAAGTGGCATTCTTTTATTTAGTATTATTCTAGACTCAGAGGTTAGGGTAATCTTAGCTCCTTTTCTTTCTTTTGTGATTAGTCAAAAGGAAATGTTCATCAAAAGAAAGAATTATTAATTTTTTTTTAAGATTTTTTTATTTCTTTATTTGACAGAGAGAAAGAGCACAAACAGGGGGAGTGGCAGGCAGAGGCAGAGAGAGAAGCAGGCTCCCCGCCAAGCAGGGAGACCGATGTGGGACTCGATCCCAGGACCCTGGGATCATGACCTGAGCTGAAGGCAGTCACTTAACCAACTGAGCCACCCAGGAGCCTAGAAAGAATTATTTTTGCTTTCTTAAATAAGATTTCAGAGATGTTAAAAAGCCTGGAAGTTGTTACACATCAATTAAAAAAATTAATGTTTTTTTTTAGCTGCCATAATTATTATTCCTCAATACAGGTTTGGAAATGAGACAAAAATTACAGACTGAAATAAGAATGAGACTTAGAGAATTAAATCATCTTTTTTATTCTTCTCTCAAACTTGATAGCCAAGCTGTGCTTATGTTATTTCATATTTAAAGTATGAATATAACAGACTGATCATTCTTTTTTTTTTTTTTAAAGATTTATTTATTTATTTGAGAGAGCGAGAATGAGAGAGAGAGAGTACATGAGAGGGGGGAGGGTTAGAGGGAGAAGCAGGCTCCTCGCCGAGCAGGGAGCCCGATGCGGGACTCGATCCAGGGACTCCAGGATCATGACCTGAGCCGAAGGCAGTTGCTTAACCAACTGAGCCACCCAGGCGCCCACAGACTGATCATTCTTTAGAGGAAGGTTTATATATGGAAAATTTTTAGAAAATTTAAACTCTTGAGGAATGGAGTATTCTAATGCCTTTAACTTCTTTATTAACCGAGAAAAACCCAGAGAATCTTTTTATTTCAACTGTTATGGAAACTTTTCCAAAATATCTAAGTTCATTTATTATGTCATAGCAAATAGCATGTACAGAATATAACTTAAGCTTTTTCTGGGATCATTTAGTGCCTTGGGGCCATAGTTTTTTCATTCTGATGGTATTCATTGCACTTTATGTGTAATCTTAGCAACCATCAGTGGCTTGGATTTTAGTTGAAAAAGTGGTAGAATTGGGAGTGCCAAGTCAAAGTAGAAAAGTTATGATATTGACTGAGAAGATAAACTGAAAGAAATCTGTAAGAACTGGGCAAGTGTAGAACTCTGATTAGATCTATAGAATATACATATTAAGTATAGGACAGACAGTTGGATAGTAGCAGGAATAAATCCAGCTCATGTTTATTCTAAAGGCAATATGATTAGGTAAGAGTCTGGTCAGGTAATAAAGAGAAAGGAGATTATAGATGTCGGAGAGCAAGGTGTAATACATGGTTACAAGTCCAAGCAGGCAGGTAGGATAGATAATCTAAAGAAACCGATGGACAAAGAAGGTGGGGAAGGGAGGCGGGGATCTTGATTCTAGAATAAGGTTCTGGTTGAGCCATTATTTTTAAACATACATATTTTTTCTATGGGATGAATTAGTTGGAAGATATGAACAACTGGGGGCCCATAGGTAAGACCATGTTTATGTCCAGAAGGAGGAGCCAGGATTGACAGGTAAGAGCAAGTCTGGCTATTACAGCTATACCATATGTAGTCCTTTCCTTAACAGATAAGAAAATGGTGGCTTGGAGCATTTAATTTGAAAGTGATTCTGCTATCATGTATATTCATGAAGGACTGTCTTCAGTTGCAGTTATGTCGAAGATTTCTTAACTTACCTCCACTTAATTGATCCATTGGGGTAACTGACATTTCTCAGTCCTTCCATAAAATATACTGATTGAAGCCCAAAGCATAATGAATACATGATGAACCTTGTTCATTAGAAGATGACAAGTACATCTCTGTACTTCTCTTACCAGTTCATTTATATACTGAGAGTTGTTTGCATTGGTAACCAGGCCTTCTTATTTATTTATACTTGTAATTATGTAATTTAATTAAGTAGTTTATATGGTTGGGAAGAAAAGTGCACACCTTCTAAAGGATTCTGCTTCTCAAGTTCTTACTCCACTTTAGAAAATGGAAACTGAACAATATAGATGACAAGTATGGTTTATATAAGAAAGAAGCAACGAAAGAAACTAATTAAAGACTAGATATTGGCTATAGGTCATTAAGTTAGAGAATGACTGTGTACTTACTATATATGGTTTTTTTTTTTTAAAGATTATTTATTTATTTATTAGAGAGTGAGCAGGAGAGAAACAGCATGAGAGGGGAGAGGGTCAGAGGGAGAAGCAGGCTCCCCGCTGAGCTGGGAGCCCGATGTGGGACTCGATCCCAGGACCCTGGGATCATGACCTGAGCTGAAGGCAGTCACTTAACCAACTGAGCCACCCAGGCGCCCACTATATATGTTTTAAGTTAAAATATTTAAGCAGTGTGTATGTGTGTTTCCCTCCCTTAACAGACTTTTGTAAGTAATCAGCTACTAATCTTGATCATGCTGCATAAAGAGCAGTTCTGATTGTATTTGAAAATATTGATGAAATTTGGGGTCTAGCCTCTTCGACTTAGAGTTTATTTTCTGAACTTCAGTTTAGCAGATATTAATTGTTCTATGTGAACTACTTTACTTGCAGGGCATATATGATCTTTGCCTTCAGTAAGTACAGACTCTAAAGGGGGAAATAATTATAAAAACTAATAACTATAATGTAATGCCAAAGTAGTATAGGCATTTATTTGTAAAGTGTTATGGGAATACAGGTAACAAACAATTAATTCAACATTGGGAAATAGAAGTATAGTTTGATCAGAGAAGAGGTCATATTTGAATTTGACCTTAAAAGATGGAATAGGAGTTTACCAGGTGGGAAGAGGATGGAAGAACATTTCTAGCAAAAGACAAAATTAACAGAGATATAAGGGTATTGAATATGTTGGAGAATGAGCAAGTAATGTTATAGGTAAGTAGAACATGGGGAATTACTAGAAATGAGGCTTGAGAAACAGACTAGACCTGGGTTAATGAGAACTTTGCAAGCTAGGCTTTCAGGGTAAGATTTTATTCTATGGTCAATAGTGAGCCAGCAGGATAGTGTGGTAGCGATGTGGAATATTGACAGGAGATCCTTGAGTCTGGGCACATTTTTAAGGGGTTGTGGATGAGAAATAATGAGAGCTTCGAGCAGGTAGTAGGGGAGTGGAATAGATAAAGGGGATGTTTTAGACAGAATATTCAAGGACTAATTTGATATAGGTGGTGAGGGAGAAGGAGCAGGCAGGGATGAGTTAAAATTGATGACCTTAAGCAGTAGGATAGTATTCATCAAGAAAATAAAAGCTGGAGGACAGGCAGTATTTTTTATTGTTTTGTTGGGTGGAGAGTGAAGCAATGAGAGAACGACTAGTTTTAGCTCTTTGAAGTTTTGTTAGGGTGTGGCTCCACCTCTTAGTTGTGTGTCATTGTTTTAATTGTTATGGTATAAATAAAACTTTCTTTTAAAATCTTGTTTCAGTAGCTATCTACTTTGTGTTTTATTCATGCTTTCAAAGATGATTAATTCAATATGATATCTGTATTGGATCTCTGTGTTAATCAAAAGTATAAAATGTTAATTTAATGGGCACATGTTAAGTTCCAGACTATGCTGTATTCACATTATCTCGAATAATTTTCACAGCTCTAAGAGAGGCACTTTTATTCCTTATTTTGCATATTGAGAAGAGGTAAAGGGAGCTTAAGTATTGTACTCAGGATTACATTGCTGGTAAATAATGGAGCCAAATTTTGAACATAGGTTTTTCTGACTCTTAGATCCATGAAAGTGCTTGCTAGCAAGTCTCAGAGTAGTTACTAGTCTGAGTCTAGAACATGGGGTGCTAATTAGGGAAATAGGAGATGAAAGAAGAAGAAGTAGATTGGGGCCATATTTTGAAGGACCTTAAAGAAGATCAAACTTGGGGCGCCTGGGTGGCTCAGTCATTGGGCTTCTGCCTTCGGCTTGCTTGGGTCATGATCCTGGGGTCCTGGGATGGAGCCCTGCATCAGGTTCCCTGTTTGGCGGGAAGCCTGCTTCTCCCTCTCCTGCTCCCCCTGCTTGTGTTCCCTCTCTCACTGTGTCTCTCTCTGTCAAATAAATAAATAAAATCTTTAAAAAAAAAGAAAAAGAAGATTGAACTCAGTAATAAAGGTCGAAGGGTGCTATTGAAGATGTTTAGGCTTAGAGTGAGAGGAATAGAGTTGGTAGGGTGGCTAAGGAGTCAATGTTTGAGGATTTATAAATTGGGGATTGGTCATTTGGTTAAATAAATTTCATTTTGAATCCTTTCAACA